ATTACTGAGACTACATTTGTTATATCTGTAAACCACGTGATATAGCTGAGTTGCACAGGTCATTAAATTGTTGAGTTGAAAACCATCCGATCTGTATGATGATGTCATGTGTTGGTTTTGGAGTATACAAATTTTCGGAGCCCCCCCTCCTAGCGCAACAATTTTTTCAGAGCCCCCCCTTCGGGTGTCTAAAAATTTTCGGAGCCCCCCCTCAATATCTTCATCCCCCCCTCTTGTCATATTAAATGAATTTTCCCTTAGTTTGTTACGTCCGCCAATGACCATAAACTTCTAATTCGACTTGGTAACGTTCAGTGTCAACTTATAGTAACCAAGATGTAATAGCTGCCAAGTCTACATTGAGCTTTGTTTGCAAATTGGTTGGTGGGTTCTCATGACAATAAAATGCCAATTGCCATCAGCGAACATCGTCATCTTTGAGTGATGCAGTTGAGATTGAATGTCATTAATACTCACCAAGAATAACAATGGAATTGTATAAGAGAAGTAAGTGAGCGGCGATCCCAATGGTTCAGTTCTTAATTTTTTTCAAAACGATTTTGAGCCAGAACTTCTCAAGTCCTCTTAAGGTGCTGTTCATTTATTCTTTAAACACCAGTTTTGGCACAATTTTAAAAACGTTCCACCCTAGGTAGTTTTAACAATGTGAAATATTGAATGAGTATACTATACAAGGTCAAAAATCAAAAATTAAAAACACTCTCTCATCATTTCTCACTGTTGTACATTTAGCCAATGCTAGTTAAGATCTATATACAACTATCCCATCGAGCGTTTTCAGATGACGTCACGTCCACCATACTGCAATTGGTGCCCCAAAACAATGAAACGGCGGCCATGTTGGTGTCCCAAATCAGTCCTGTGGTAGTTGATGAATCTTTTTCTTATGAAAAAAGTTTCTTTTGTTTCAATAAATTTGTTTGGTTGCTGGCCACCTGAGTGAAAGCGCATTATGGTTGAGTCCCGGGCTTTGGGTTTTAATCGTAGTCTACAAACAGAATTTTTTTAAACCTGTTAACCACTGTCAAATTCAATATGACCCCAAAAAACAGTCTGACCCAAACTCAAAGAGCACACCGTACCGGCAAAGTTACACTATGATGGAAAAGCTTGCTCTAACAAACATAATATTGTCAAATGAATCAGTTTAATGAATACGTTACAAATACTATTTGTATTGGCCCAAATCTGGCATCTACAATTCACTCAAGCGTAAAACGTGAGGCTTTCCTCCCAGCACATCATAGCTCTAGTTTTTTAATTTTCTCTCCCCAGTGAATTCAGCACAACTGAGTTAGCACTCTCTGCCCTTGACAGGCACCGAAAGCCACCACAGATATCCCTAACTATCTAATGAAGATTGCCAGCAATCCACTTTCCATTCCCCATAAATATACTTGATTATTATTCAATTGAATCAGGCATTGTCCCTGATGTTTTCATGATCTCCAAGGTTACCCCAGTCTTAAAGGCTGGTGCAGTGACAGACCCTGGTTATCGTCCCATTGCTGTGCTTTCTCCATTTGCAAAACAAATCCTAGGAAGATTTCTTTATAATTAGCTAAATCATTTCCTGGAAAAGGAAAACATTCTATTCAACCACTAATTTGGCTTCAGGAAAAATTATTTCTCTGACCAAGCAATTCTCGAACTCACAGACAATCTTAAAATGAAAATTGACAGTAATGAAACTATATGTAGTATTTTTGTCGAAAAAAGCCTCTGATACTGTTAACCATCAGATCATACTACAGAAATTATACAGATATGGAATCCCTACATGGTGAAACGCCGCAGCTCTACATACAGAAGCTAACGTTTATTATGACGCTTTTGATCCATTAATAGCAAAGATGATCATGGACCAAACATTATTCACAGCTGGCTGGTTGAGGTTGAAATTCCTGGCTCACTTCTTGGTCCTGTCTGGTCTGCAGCAACCGCAGAATTATACTAAAAAAATGAAGGAAAGATATTAAAATTATCATCTCTTTGCAATTTAGGGTACTCGTTTTTGCTGATCATGTTTGTACCATTACTAAGTCACTCATTATAGCGTCTAATACACTGAAGGGCCAGAATCCCGTAAAGCATTGAAATATGACTCCAAGAATTTTAACTCTCGTGCTCATATGTTAAGGGGGAGATGTTTTGGCAAGATTGACCTCCCATAAGTTTAGATAAAATTGCAGTTGAACATGGTCTTCTAGTTCAGGCCAAGGGGTCCAAGATGCTATCGGGACACCTCAAATTTCAAGTAAAAGACGATCAGCCCTTCTTAATTCACCAAACTCTCTTGGCTAACCACGATGTAGGGAAAGATTATCTTAATACACTATGACTCGTGGTAACTCTTGTTATAATATAAGTTTTTGTATTTTAAACTTTATAGTCAAGTAGTTTCTTAGAGTATTTTAGTATAATTTTACATACGATTCCTAGAAAGACCATGTAAAAGTGATACGATTTCGTGCTTAAATAAAGACCGATGATGATGATGATAATGATGATGATGATGATGATGATGTTCGATGTGTGTAAACGACTTGTTCAGTTCATGTGCCGTTGCTGTTTATATTATACGGGGTAACTTTTCGTGTCGGAACTAAAAGCTATCTGGTAAAGAGTGAGCATGGCCTTAGTGCAAGTAACACTCTCGAAAACCAACCCCCACAGCTTGGCCAATTAAAATCCAATGCATGAGCAGAATTATATCTCAACTGGACTTTTCGCTCTAGCTTTTATCCTATGGTTTGCCCCTCCCGGGGAGGGGGGGTACTCCTCCATAAAATTGACGGGGGTGCTCTTCGGAAAATTTCGAAAAATTATCTAAAAGGTACGACGAGCACCCCTGTCATAATTATAGGGGAGTACCCCCTCCGGGGGTATGCCGTGCTGATGAGTACAAGTCAAGGTGGAAACAGCTAGCTGTCCATGGCTACTCGGGTGATACGGCTGTGTGCATGCATTCGATCAGTAGTTGGTGTTCGAGTGTGTCTTTTGCTTTAAGTGTTTATCTCATTAACTAAAATCTTGGTAAGCTGTTGGGCTCCGTTGGCCTCCTGCATGCACTAAGTTGGTTTCCTTTCCAAGGGCCCCCTCCCCCTCCCTGTACATGGCGTCACCACACTCTACAAGTTTTGGTTAAGTGTTTCTATGGATATTATACCCCTTGTTTATCTTGGTGAGATTCTTCATCTATCATCTCTTAAATTCTTTTATGGTTTCCACTTTTCTTTTTAAAGGTGACAGTGAAAACCAAGTTCCTTAAATTTCTAGTTCATTTTATCGCATTTTTCTAAGAAAAACAGATGGCTATGGCTCCTGAAGAACATCGTCGAGATAACAGAGAATGCAAAAGGACGACGTTCTACTGACTTAAGAACGTTTTGTTCGGACAATCTTGCACATTTGAGGGGGCTTTCTGCGGGTTGTTTCTAGAGCGTATGATGTTTATTTGAGGGAAAAGAAATCAGAATAGAAAAGGTATACACACAAACAAGTTAGTCTGTTAATGGGATCACAGGCACCTTGTTGTGGGGTGGGACTATCTGGTAATAGTCTACTAATTATTGCTTTCGTGTTTTAATTTTCAACAACCTCCAATCCAATATTTTCTAATTCTAATAATTTTAAACACTCCCCCCATTTTTATTCATTAAAAACATTCGAAAAATTATCCAAAAACTCTCACACATTTATTGAACCAAAATTCTCTCTTGCTACAACCTTTATGGAGCCATTTTTGGTTGAATGAAATCTTGGCTAGATTTGGAAGAAAAAGAGTAGAACTAAACGAAAAAAAGGCTTTGGGGCTGAATTCGATGCATGCCAGTGTGAAAACAGGAAATTGACTCTACAGATGGTTTGGAGATGGTTGGCAGGAGGCTCTTGGAGAATTTACAGTATGTGCTCAAATGCTTAGAGATACCCTGGCGAAGTGTCAGCAGACTTGGAAAAGTGCGTGTTAGGTGTTACTTAATTGGGATGGGATATCTAAATGTTATTCAATGGATTTTAGTGAAACCTTTAGCGAGGACTGTACTTACGATTCCTATATCTCTGCTTCTAGCATCCAGTGGGTAGGCATTTTGTGCGCGCCACCAAAAGAAAGCAAGGAAAACTACGATGAAGACTGCTAATCCCAATGAAACACCAATGGAAATGAACTCAACTGTTCCAATATCCTCTAATTAAAAAAATACGTTAAATTAAAGGGTAAAATGCTGAAAAAAGTGTAAGAAACAAGCGTAGGACTGCTAGCGGAAATATAATGGTTTTGAGGATGGTATACCTTATCTAATTAAAGTAATCGAGTCCGATTGGGTGTCAATAGTCGTTATTTATTGACTAGAAGCTATTTGTTATCGAACAGGTACATCATAATGGACAAGACCGTGTAGAAGAGCTTGATTTGCATTTGCATGACAAAATCCGACAGAAAAAAACCTTACGAATCAAAAAAGGAAATAACGACATATCTAATTGTTCACTGAAACACTATCTGCAAGCAGTCAAATGGTTGGGCCAAATTGTTTGCAAACAGTTAACAACATGAATTAAGGCTTTAGAAGCTAAGACATGATTGTAGCCAGTGATGGCAAAACGTTAAAATTTAGTCCCTTGTCTTCTGCATTAGATTCTTTAGTTAGTGAGATCTTAATCAAGCGGGATAAACATGTACATATGAGTTAGTTGTCTTGCGCAGTTTTTATCGCAGCTAAAATAGGCATGGAAAAATGACTCAAAGACAGGGGGGGGGGGAAGAGACGAGGTCTGGGACCCCCCTGCTCAAAGACTCTCTTACACAAATCGTTCGCGATTTCGAAGGAGTAAAATGAGAAAGTTATCTGCAACCCGAACGAAGAAACGAAACGACGCTTCGCTTGGTTGCCCTGCTCAAAAAGAGTTTGGAACTTTGAACTTCCAGCCATGGTTAAGTCAAACTATAGCCTGTCAGTTAAGGATGAGTCAAAAATAAGTAGAATAAACGAAACTCACCACACGTAACCCTTGGGAGGCCTTGAAGAAACAAACTGAAGAAGAAGACACTTGCAACACCTGAAGGATACATCGTGAAAAGTCCCTCAAACGCTCTTAAAAATGGAAGGAATAATCGGTGTTCTTTAACTGCCAAACCTGTTGACCACTGTTTGTTGATTCAATTAACTTTCTAAAAGAGCATTGCGCATGGCAGACAAGTTTCTTTGCACTGCCTGACTGATTCCCTTCCGGAGAGAATGAAGCCATGCATGAATCTAAACTTAGAAGCCGATTTGATAACATGAAGCATAAGGTCGCCAAAATTAAGTTTCGCTAGCCGAAATCTACATTTTTTTTACGTTTCATTTAAAAGAAGTACAAGTGTCATTAAGTTTTAAAAACACTTCATACCATGCCCTGCAATGAACTCTCCATTTTACAAGCCCGTTTTACAGTCTGCAAGAGTGACACTACCGTAAAATTTATTCAATACCGCTTCCAAATGATTAATCTTTTTTACATCTTTGTTGTTATATACCTGGACTGATAGTCTGAAGAAATGCTATTCCTCAGATTTCCTGGTTGCTTTCCTCATTTTGTGGGACATTTTAGTAAAGGAAACTCAAGATCATGTTCCGTCTCAATCAATCGTTTAATAGTAAGTTAATTTTCTATGATCTAGTACAAAATTTTGACGGTTAACTAAATTCTTTCTTACAGCTTCAATTGTTTTAAAACGCTTCGTTAGGTGCTCTTGGCCCTTCGCATGCAGAGCATGATCTTTGTCAAGCCATGCATGTAACTACCTTCTGTGATTGGCTAGGAAATGTCGGGCCACTTTCTCAGCCGATCGGGATAAAAATGACTTTCTCGCGCGAGATTTCGCGCTCTTGCACATGCATAGCTTCAATTCAGAAACATTTCCCTTTGTCTTAAGGGAATTGTTTTGTTAAAGGCGCCTTTTCAAAAACATAAGCTCTCCTTTCCAATGAGTGGAATCGAAAATGCTGGCACCTGATTCGTTAATATACCTCTCAGAAAGAACCAGTAGAAACAATGCAAACTCCATCCTTGACAACACAAACGTAAGGACAAAAAAGGTCGTCAAACAGTTTTTTTTTTCACCAGAACGGAACTGAGAAAATATCTCTACCTTTCACTTCCTTCAAAAGTCTTCAAAAAGCAGATGAAGTGGATCGCCGCGAAGAGATTAAAACCATCGGCCGTTTGAATTGTTCAAGAAAGAACAATGGGACAGACTGAGAGGGGAACGCTTAATCAATCTAGCTCTTGGAATATGTGAGTTTCACAAAGTTAGTTTTAGACCAATTAAACACTTGAAATTAATTGGAAGTTGATTTCTGGAGGAGCCTGTAACCTGCAAACTGTTAAGTTATTCAGTGTTGTTAAGAGAGAATTTAACAGTTCCCATTAAAATACTCTGCATTGTTTGCTTTGAGGCAGTCGCGCGTGGACTTTGACGTTTCAAACGATCGATTAAAATGTGCGGACATCTCAGGAATTAACGCTCCGATTCAACGCTTCGTCACGTGACCCGCCCCCATGACCAAGTGTTCGTCATTATCACAGGGACCCACACTCTTATTTGTAAATGCAAATGGCAATTAAATGAGAGATTAAAACTTACCTGTTCTGTTCTTGAATCTGCTGCGGAGCGAAGTGCAATCTTAATGATCTTGAAAACTAACCATTTTTGTCACCACCTGTCTAAGTGCAACTTTATTCTAATTTTTGACTTTTAGCGCTTTTCTGTAAATCTCTGGAACGGCTAGACAGAATTCTTTTTATACCTCATCACATAATGTCCATGATGTATATAATGATGTCTGAAAGTTTCGTTAAGATAATCATTGAAACACTTTGAAATTTGAAGACGAACCCAGCCTACGAAACCGGCCAAAAATCCGCGTTACAACATTCACTGTTTTGACGTTATGCTAATTTTTCCAAATTATAATCATTATAAAAATTATAAAAGGTCTATAAATTTACAAATTATAGATATTTTATTATCTCTGTAAAAGGTCCAGTTTTTCCAGTGTAATGCGCCCCCTAAATACCTCTACGATCAAAGTACATTTCAGTGTGAATATAGTCAATGTTTTACATTCAAAAAATGCAATAAAATTCACACTGAAATTTACACTTTTATTGCGATTGAAAAAGATCGGTATGGTCTCCAAAAAACTGTTTTGAAACACGTTAATTTGCCTTTATATTATAGATATGATGAAGGAAAATACAGTCCGAGAAAGCAGATGCTTACTGATTGGTGACAAGCAATGCCGCTCCCATCACTTATTTGTTTAAAAAAGTGATGTTAATGTTTTAAAAACATTTTAAAAGCACATTTATGGCGAACCTCTATTGAGCGGCCAACTTGAGCCTCCAGTAGACGGCTACTTGACAGTACCCCAAGAATGGCCGCAATCTTCGAGCAAAGGAACAGGCCAATGACTCGTAATGACGATTGATTCAATAGGATGAAGAAACTTGGGAGTTGAGTGCTCTCTGAGAGTTGAAATTGGAAACAATTTGGTAAAACTTTGACAATGAAACCTGTTTCATATTTCATTGCTGTATTTAGAAGAGCATTCTATGACAAAGATTTTGATATGTAGTTAATGGCCCTGGTAGTTATAGTATGGAAGCTGTCAGCACATTTTCACAACACAGCTGCATGATGAAATTTCCCATTAAAATTTGCCGGTTGTAGTGTTAATGGGGGTTCATTTTATCGAAACAAAAATTAACTGAAATGAAAAATTAACTGCAACAGATACCTCCATGATCAGCACATTTCAGCAGTGTGAATGTTATCAATGTTTTACATTGAAAATGCAATAAAATTCACACTGAAATGCACACTTTTAATGCCATTGACAAAGATCGGTATGGTTTCCACACAAACTGTATCGATCGAGACACATTAATTTTCCTTTATGTTATAAATATGATGAAGGAAAATACAGTCCAGGTGCTTACTGATTGTTGACCAGCAATATCGCTCCCATTACCTGTTTCTTTCATTATTACTAACGATGCCAAAAATCATGATGGAAATCGGTTATATCGTTCCTGCCGAAAAACGCGATTCAAAAACATAACCAACACGCATAAAAATTGGTTCGAGCCACCTTAAGAAAACCATTTGAATATACACCAGGAGGGACTAATTGTGTAAGCAGAACAATTTTGCATGAGGTTAATGAAATTCAGTTCATTTCTCAATAACGTCATTAAACAATAGTGTGTTCATTCGCAAGTATTCATCGCTTAAAATTAATTGTAATAGCCGACACGATTTTCTTCTTCTGTTTCCCATTTAATAACAGAAACTTAGTACATTCAGAGCGCTAGCAGTCTGCATACACAGTATGAGTTTGTGAGATAGTTTGGATTAATTCACTTGTAATATATAATGCGAAATTAAGACTGAGCAACTTGGGTATGAAATGCATTATAACATACTTAGACCAAAAAGGATTTATTCGATTTGAAACTGAACAAAGCAATTCAGAAATTAAATTGTTTCTTGCTTGTGCACATTTTTCTTCAGTTTTATTTAAGGTCATATCCTTTATTTAGCCAAATCAACAAGGAAGATGAGATTGGAGCCCAGTACAGTCATGAAATTTGTTCCACTGGGATAAATTTCATGACTGTACTCGCACTTCCCCTCTCTCACATGGCTTTTAACGTTTAGCGCTCACGAAGTCGTTCGCTTACGAAGGCTTATCTGTCTCGTGGTTATTTTTTTTACGCCCAGTGAGAAAGGGGGCGCAAACGAACTAACCACGCGACAGAAAAGCCGCGCGAACGACTTCACAAACGCTAAACGCCATGCAAGAGAGAAAACTTTGCTCGTGGGGTAACTTCAACGATTTTTCAATTTATTTCAGATACCACAGTTGGCGCTTTCATATTTAAGATTCCTTTGTGTCTTTTGGTTTCTTTGCTATGGAATATTTTCTTTCAGGAGTCAGGACGACCTTCAACACTACATTCGCCTCGATAATTACTTCCGACACCTGGTTACGCGGGTGGGTGACGATTAAATCTATTTGTAATTACTATTTTGATATTTTCACCCACGCGATAAATAGAAATTACTTTATTACCAATAAAGCCAAGACATTTACTGGGCCATTCATTTATTGGCATTTAGCACTTAAACATTAGACGAAACAGCTATAATAAAGGATTTTCAATTTTCTGTCATTTATACATGTATGCAGTTGAAACTCCATTAAGCTGTCACCTATTAAGCGGCCACCCTCTATTAAGTGGCCAGTGATCAAAGTCCCAAATTAATTGAAGAAAAGAATTGCAAATTAAACCTCTATTAGGCGGCCGCCACCTTTTGGCCTTCCTAATGACGAGAGTTCTCCTACTGTTGTCACCTCTATTAGCGGCCATGGAGTGCTTGAAACCTTTAATTTGCCTTTATATTATAAAAGTGATGAAGGAAAATATAGTCCGAGAAAGCAGGTGATTACTGATTGTTGGCCAGCAATGCCGCTCCCATCGCTTGTTTGTTTTAAAATAAAGTGACGCTACTGTTTTAAAAAGATTAAGCGTATTTATGACGAACCTCTATTGAGCAACCAACTTCCATTAGGCGGCCACTTGACGTGTACCCCAAGAGTGGCCGCTAATTAATGGACCGAGGTTTATTTGTATAAGATAACTTGCGTCCGAGGCCTTCTTAAAATAATAACCGAGCGCGTAGCAAGTGGTTATCATGTTTAAGAGTTCCGAGGAAAGGCATTATCGAACATAATATATCTTTTCATTGTTGTAGCTGTTTCCATTGTCCATAACAACCTTATATTGAGTCTTCACTAGGTCGCATTTTAAAGTTTCAGAGCGAAACAGAGCAAGAAGCTGCTGCAACACTGTGCCAAAGTAACAAGGCTGAAATTCCGGAAACTTTTCACGATTGACGGGTAAGTTAAGTTGAGAAGATCACCTT